CCATTCCAAAAGATGCGTTCCAGCAGTGTTTCCAGCAATGGCAGGAACGCTGGGAGAAGTGTATACATTACCAAGGAGACTACTTTGAAGGGGATTAGGGTTTTGTACCTCAAAGTCAATAAATTTATTTTTGCTGACCAAAGGTCCGATACTTTTTGAACAGACCTTGTAGACAAAGATTTATATTTTAATATTGGATAGTTGTTTACTGTGTTCATATTATTGTAAACCTATATAAATCTATCCTCTATTTCCAATGCTCCATCATAATGAACTTCAAAAATAAATTTGGCTCAATTCAACCTCTGAATGAGACGATTGGGATTTTTAACAGAGCTGTAGAGCATACCCATAGGAGCAAAAAAATCAAAAAAACCATACTTCTACAAGAAACCCTTTGTAAGATACAGCCTGCCAAGATTGTGTGTTGCGTCGTTCCACTAAAACTATTGTGTTTAACTATTTAGCCCATGCAACTATGCCAGCTTGAGTAGTCCACTTGACTGTTTGTGGAGTACGTGATGTTATATAGTTTTGGGGATGAGCCCCACATTCCCAGGTGCTTCAGTGTGAGTGCTAGCAAGCCTTGATGACACAGAGCATGGAGAATAGGCAGTATACTGATGCATGTAAAAAACTGACCTTTGGAGGGGAATATCTTGCAAATGATCACATGTACAAGTATGATCTTTTGATTTTTTGCTCATTTAGGGGGTCTACAATTCTCAGGGGTGTGAAACCCCTCATTCAGAGCTTGAATATTACCATAAATATTGCCTAGGGTTTCAAATCCTAGGGCCACCATCAAGTCATAACTTGAACAAATAAAAAAATCATATAGCCTATTTTAAACTATTAAAAGCCAGAAATTTTACAAAATAAGAGATGATTCTAAAATGAGAGGAAAAAAATGAGAGGGAAAAAAGGTTCATAAAATTTAGAAAAAACTTGTAAAAGATCTTCATCACATTTTACTTTTAACACAAACATTTCAAAGGAACAGTATAAAAAAAGATATTCACAATTAATGAAAAAATTCCATAAATGCAAAGCATACAATTTATGACTTTGTCAATTGTGAACATTATTTTTCATTGTTCCTTAAAATATTTGTTTTAAAAGAATAAATAACTGCTTTTTCAATATCTTTTATAACCTTAAATAAAAAGTAAACAAGCATCCTCTTTTGGAAGTTTCTGCAATGCTAAGAAATATCTTTGGAAAAAACTGACAAGGATATCACCAGGGATGGTTCTCTCCAAGTTCACAAAGTTTGATAAATATCCTGGTAATACCCTCCTAGTAACCTACGGTAAAGCCACTCATATAAATCTAAAGCATTCATAAGAATAAATTAATTTAAAGTTTTCTATGTTCCTTTTATACTGTGTTGTATCAACAAAGTGTCAGCAACAGCAAAATTGAGTGAATAAGGTGCTCAAATATTGTGTGTTTTGCAAGTTTAAATCTTATCTTTTAAATTTTTTTCTAATCTGCTTTGAAGTGAATTATTCTTCAATGTATGTTTTTAATTTTTAACAAAAACTCTCTCAATGTGTTCATGCTACTATGTGAATAAGTCAGGAGTAGATACAAAGTGAACTTTCTATGCATTTGATATTTTTTGCTAACATAATAAACACAGAGAAATAACAATCATGGAAAATGTAGAAATAACTTAAAATTTCTTCATTGCATAAAAAATATTGTAATCGCAAAATACAAAGTTTCATTATTAAAAATTTTTTAAAATAGCAATGCATTGCACAATAATCCATTTGAACACATTAAGAGAAAAAAAATTGAAAGAATAAGATTCAAACCGGCAACATGCATTATAGTAGTCATGCATCTTATCCACTTGACTTTGTTGTTCCTGACATTTTACAAATACAAAACTGTATGCAAGGAGCATACAAAACTTTAATTTTTCTTGCGAATGCTTGAGAGTTGCATTGAGTGGCTTTACCATGAATTAATGGGAGGATAAGAACCACAATATACACATATCCCTTGTACAATGCTGTCTCACTCTAACACAGAGAACTTGGGAAAAAATCTGTACAAAATTTCAAATTTTTAAGTGCAAACTTTATTATCCAATTTTTTTTTTTCAAGTAAGCATGTGTATTGTCTCAAATTTACCTATGAATTTTACAATACTGAAATTTTCAATGTGCATTGTGCCTTTCGTCACATTTACTTTAATGAAAATTGATAGTGCAATTTTTTCTTCCTTGTTCTAGTTTCCTATCAACCTGGTACTGTTGACGTTGCTTTCAGACATTAGCTTTTAAGACTGTCACTGTATTTTAGTTTTATAGATTAATCTTCATATATTTTTAAAGTTTATTTAAATATTTTTAGCTGCTATTAAATTTTTTAAATATAGGTAATCATTTGAAAAGTGACAAATGAAATACAGCAGTATCTCAGTACACAAACCATTCCCAACTCAAACAATTCAGTATTCGAATTCAAATTCTGGAAAAAAATAGTATACTTTTAACATTTAGAACATCATCCTGTTTTGCATTAGTCCTTCGTTTCATATAGCACAGATTCCCATAACTCGACACTTTTTCGGAATGTAACTATTGTGTTATATAAGGTATACCCATATACAGGGCAGGCCCGAGAAGTAGCAGAATCTGATGCAAGGTTGTTGTACTGGGCCTTTTAATAAATAATTAACAGTTTCAAACAACAAAATATTTTAATGATAGACATGCCATCCGTTAAATAGGTTAGCGAAATTTAGTTAACTTAGCAAATGAAATGATCAATTTTTAAATTATGCAAGAGTTGGATCATGCAGGATGGCGGGACCTTATGCTGTCGCACCGTTCACCGACCGGCCCTGCCTGTATATAGTACTAAACTCAGCAAAATCGGGTCATCTTTAGCATTGCCTCGTTGTAACTTCATAAATTTGAATTAGAGGGTCTCGTGTACAGTTTTGACGACCAGGCATTTTTTTTCAAAGGAATTCTTAGGGAAAATCCACCGGTATCTTCGTTCGTTTTTTTAATGAGACCTCCGATGGATTTTAAATGCTATCAAAACTGTCGAAAGAGGGCGCGCCCCCACCAGTGGGCGAGTGGTCTCCGTTGCCGCTCATCGTAGTGGTGACCAGACCCTGAAGACTGGGAGGTTCGTCGTGGGTTCGCGCCACGGTCGGACAGGCTGGCTGCTTGGAGTTTTCCGGGTTTTCTCCTTGCCTATAACGACTGAATAGGAGGCCAGTTCCCCATAAAAGTCCTCCCGGAAGGATTTATTTCCCGCGCGTACGTATGGCTGTTCGATACAGCCGGCTAATCGGTCGCCTAGCGATCATACACATACACAAGTCTACTCGGAGAAAGAGCCTACATTGAGCTAAAATCTCCATATAAACACCATCGAAGAAGAAGAAAGAAAAGAAAGAGGGCGCCAGCTCATTATCGAGACAAGATGGTGGCACACACCGGTGGATAATTCTCTTAGGAAAAGCATTTTCCTATCGTTGAATGCATCCAAATCTTATCAATAACGTTTTTATTACCGCACAAAATATATTTCGAGCTAATTATGGTACCACTATTATAATATATGTATATAATCTGGACTTAAAGAATTTACGCTGATATTTACCAACATTTTTCGGCACCATTTTTCTGTATTAAATATTTGAAGTGTTGTGAATTTAAGTAATATTTACCCATTTTAAGTAGCACATCCGCTATACAACGATCCCACTTCTCCCCAAGTTCATCTTCTGATCTCTTCCCCATTTCGCTCATATTCTACGATGGAACTACGCCCTCTGCCATATTACACACGACAATTTCAAGTTGAAATATTTTTTAAAATATTTCCATATTAAATGTTTTCATAATTTAATTAAGAAACTAAAGAATATTACTTGAATATTTAAAGAATTTTTTTAAAAATATATTTAAAGCTTTAAATGTTTTATTAAAAATTAATGAGAGATAAAAATCGTTGATAAAAGTTGGAATTACGATAAGAAACGATCCTTTGGAAAGACTCTCCTCATTCGTTAAAAAATTCAATTCAGTCGGAATTAATGGCTTTAGTCTTTAATTAGAAATCTCTCTGATAGAAAATACACACACACATACACACACAAAAAAAAGGATTACTAATTGAAAATATACTGGCGGAAATATTTCTAAAAACTAATGACGAAGCTATGAGAAAGAAGCTTCTCTTTGTGAATTGACCAAAATGAACTATTTATTGGAGTCTAAATTGAAGAAAATTATTTAAATAAAAAATGTTATTCTTGTTATACAGTATTTGTAATCGCGTTTAAAGTGGCATCGTACAATTGCATCAATTTTTATGTGTATCAAAACATTAGATATATATTTACTAATTATAATAAAATATTTTATAACCCCGATAATTCTGCCGCTGGTATTTTTAATTTTATATGCCAAAATTTTGAATAATTTTTTCGATTGAAAATCCGTCTCTAATTAGAACTGCGAATCGAACATTAACGTTACCTTCTCTAAATATCGCATTTCACACAGACCATCAACGAAAAATTAATAGCGTTTTCCGACCGTAAGAATTCGATTCCTTAGCCACTTTGACTATTCGGCTGTTATAGTTCCACATTATCCGGATTTTTTTATCCGTTCTCGTTTAAGCCGCGCTACTCAAGATTCTATCGTATTTATGATTTCATAAACTGTCAAGTCCGTGATGTCAAAAAATTAGATAAGCACTAGATTTTATGTAAATTTGACTGCTGATTTTAATGGTAACTATAATAAGTTTCCGAATTAGAACAAAACAGAAAAAAACAATGAAAATGGGAGGTTAGTTTCCAAAACAGCCATACGTGTATTTTGCGCGAATTACTTTTTCAAACCTTTGTTAGAAAAGCTTCTCCAAGAAATTTAGACTTCTTATAATGTTCTTTCTCTACATCTGAAAATCATTAATGTTTCAGCAAATTGTTTGTTTCTTAGGAGGCTCAAGAAAATGTGAGGATCCATCCCTGGTATAGACGTTTCCACATCAAAAGGGATTTAGGAATTTTCATAGTTAAAACCGAAAGAGGATTTTTAGAATACCCTTTTTGATTCCTTTATATCATGGCGGAACAAAAATGAAGTCAGAGACAACAGAGAAACCGACACAGAGAATAAACAGATTGAGCCAGGAAGAAGCGACCATTCTTTCTCCTTGAATTTCTGACTTTTTAATTTAAAGGATTTCTTTCCTAAATTTTTAATTTGATCGGTTAATCAATTTGACACTTCCGTTCGACTTCGTCTGCAAGTGCTGATCCAACTTTCAAACTTGCGCTCGTATCTCACGCGATGATATTTTCTTTTCGACGGCTAAGAATGTTTCTTTATGTCTTCATTACTTACAACGCGACAATTTTGCTTGCAAAGGAATACTACATTTATTTCCAAATTTTGTCATGTCTACGAGAGTCAGAGTCAAAGCTCGATTTTTCCGATTGATATTGTAAACATTCCGATCCCGTTAGTTCGCGTCGAACCGTGACCTCATGGGGCTGCAATTTGAAAAAATTGTAGATCTATAAATTCCCTCTGTCGTCCATCCGCTGTATTAATCTCAAGAACGAAGTTAGGTGAAATCTGAGATCAAATATGGAAACCTTAGGAACAAGACTCCTCAATTAACTATATATGAACATCGGATGTAAACCAGATATCACGTTTTTCCAATTCAAAACTCCCTCGCCCTGAAAGCAGTTAATAGATGACCGGCACACTCTATTGTTAAAGATGTTACCAATGTTTAATAGTTTTATCCAGTAGGCCACTGGTGGGCCGCTAGCAATTTGAATGTCACATCTTTGTACTTGTGGAGATTCTTCGAATATTATGACACACACTTTATGTCTCTGAGAACCAATTTTTATTGTTTTACAAACGTTTTCAACCTGATCTACAGGCCATCGTCAGGTATTTTGAATTCTCTGGAACGTAACAAATAGTATAAATATGTTAAAATAAAATAAAATAAAATACAAATACAAATATACGAACACAATATACATAATTATATCGACAAAGTGCGCGTTACGTATTATATTTTATTGCGTTATTTTTGATCACCGATAGTAATCCTGTGGCATCTTTATGGTTTAAACATTTGCCATTAAGGCTGGATCTAAATATTTCAAACTTCTCTATAGTCATTGGTAGTTTTAAAAAATTCATCTTAGGTCATGATAAAAAATATGAAAATATCAAAATGATATTTATCTTAATATATATTTTTAAAAATGATATCAATTATTATAATTTTAAGCCAGTTTAAATATATTTACACAGTTTTGAAAATATATGTATTTTATTGAAAAATACAGTATGATGGGAGAAAAACATAGGTCCTAATTCAGTAGATGGCGTTTCCCAGAATTTTTCGAATTTAAATTTTAACTTCTTAAAACAATTTTTTCACGATTGGAAAGAATCGAAAACTTTACCAAGAAATATTTTAAAATATTAATAGAAAAATATGGAAGTTTTAGTAGAAATGCTCAACCGAATATCCGTGAAATTGCATTCCAACAACAAGTACACAAGAATTCTCGGCAAATTAGAGCAGAAATGTGGCTGCAACAGATTTTTCATCGTCAAATGTACCTTTCTTTATCGTAAATTTTGTTAATTTCGAATTAATAACCGATTATTCTTTTTATTATTATTCAGTTTTAATGATTATACTAGCTGTATACACCGCAGTTGGTTATGAAAATGAATTTGTCTGCACTTTCACATCGATCGTCTATCCCATTTACGCTTCGTAAGTTTTAATTGTAGAGTATTTACTTTTTCGAATTTCGTAGCTTCTTATGTAACAGAATATTTAAATGCAGAATGAATGCGATTCAAAGAGAAACACCACGAGATACAGAAATTATACTGACATATTTGGTGATATTTGCATTAATTTATCTGTTTGAAAATTTATTTGACGCCGTAATGACTTTGATTCCTTATTATTGGTTGATGAAGGTAAACATCACTCTAAATTCTTTATATACAGAGTGGCCATTATTAGTTTCTATATTCAGAGCAGTCTGTAGCTGTAACTAATAAGTGAATTGACACCAAATTTTGTATACAGACTAAGCAAAGGATGTGGTAAAGGATTTTAAAAAATGTTCAAAAATTTCAGGTCTGGGACGCTTTGGCATACGGTTTATTACGGAAACGTTGCAACATTAGCAGGCAAAGAATTGTATTACACTATACGTCAAAAACATCCCTGGAAAACATTTACGATCAGTTGTAGGACATATTGTTCATCCTTCAAATTTTATACCTGAACAACGGGACACATATTGAATAAAATTACTGACAGCAGTAAATAGCCTCTGCAGAAGGCATGTCCCTTATGGAACAAATAAATGCATTTTTAGTTGTTTTTAGTGTATTTTTCCTTTAAGTGCTCCAACGGAAATTTTGATTTTTGAATTAAAAATCATTTTGCAAAATCTCTTTCTGCGTCCTTTCTATGTGTATACAAATTTTGGTGTCAATTTGCTTATTGGTTACAGCTCTGAATAGAGAAACTTTAATTATGACCACCTTGTACTGTACTTCACGTCGAATTCTATTCGTTTCACATTCAAGAAATTATTTTTCAGATGTTATTCCTGATCTGCTTCGCTCCAGTTTCTATCATTATTTCTCTATCGAAACGTCTTGAGTGTACTGATGACAAGTATTTTAGTAGAGAAACGCAACGGTTCTGATTTGGATAATGAACTCGCAACAAAATCATCCTAAATGAAGACAGACAGTTGTAAACAAGAAGATTGTAGAGTTGAAAATTCCGATCAGGAGGAAGATTTTTAAGTAGTTAATGCTCGGAAAATAGGATGTGATGTGTTTAAATTAAATATTTAGTCATACTTCAACTTCGACAGGTTTTACAAAATTATTTTTGAATAAAAGTGATTTATTAACATAAAAAATCTCAATGGGAACTAACGTGACTTAGATTTTTGTTTCAATCAGGTTCAAAAACACTTCAGAGCCAGTTAAATTTAAAACTTAATGTATATATTGAAAATAAACGTATGTACAGTTACAATTAAAGTTCACATATAAGAATTACAAACATTAGATATTAACAAAGTTCGAGGTAATCATCCACTGCAACAGGTCCGTCGGAAAAGCACCTTGCGACGTACAAATTCAAAGTCCACAACAATACAACAAGATGAGGCAATCTTCTANCTCTCGTTCGGTGTGGGCAAGGATGCAAACGAAAAAGCGTCGCTTCGTAAGAGATGCGAACGACTTTTACGATCAGTTGTAGGACATATTGTTCATCGCCTTCAAATTTTATACCTGAACAACGGGACACACATAGAATAACATTACTGACAGCAATAAATAGCCTCTGTAGAAGGCATGTCCTTTACGGAACAAATAAATTCATTTTTAGTTGTTTTTAGTGTATTTTTCCTTTAAAGTGCTCCAACGGATATTTTGATTTTTGAATTAAAAATCTTTTTGCAAAATCTCTTTCGGCGTCCTTTCTATGTGTATACAAATTTTGGTGTCAATTCGCTTATTGGTTATAGCTAAACAGTGCTCTGAATAGAGAAACTTTAATTATGACCACCTTGTACTTCACGCCGAATTCTATTCGTTTCACATTCAAGAAATTATTTTTCAGATGTTATTCCTGATCTTCTGCTTCGCTCCAGTTTCTAATAATCTTTCATTATTTCTCTATCGAAACGTCTTGAGTGTACTGATGACAAGTATTTTAGTAGAGAAACGCAATGGTTCTGATTTGGATAATGAAGTCGCAATAAAATCATCCGAAATGAAGACAGACAGTTGTAGACAAGAAGATTGTAGAGTTGAAAATTCCGATCAGGAGGAAGATTTTTAAATAGTTAATGCTCGGAAAATAGGATGTGATGTGTTTAAATTAAATATTTAGTCATACTTCAACTTCGATATATGTTTTATAAAATTATCTAAATACTATATATATAATTACTTGTCCTGACTGACTGACTGAGTCACTGATTCATCATCGCCCAGAGCAAACCGCTGAACCTAAACAGGTGAAATATTGTACACAGTTAGGGTACGTCATGGCAACGCACACTAAGAAGAAATTTGTCGAAATTCTCCCGCGGTGGAAAGAGAGAGAGCATTTCATTTCAGACATTGTGATAAATATTCTTATATATTTCGATTTTTTAACCAAATGTTCGAACCGTTTTAAATTCGAATTTGTTAGTTGCTATTGATAGATTTTTTTAAAATAAAAAACAGTTACATTTCATGAAACGAACGATCTTCTTCTCAGTTTGAATATAGAAAGATCTATATTTGATTGTTTCGTGTAAAATACATACACGATATTTTCTATCGGTCAGGTGAATTCATAAAATTTGCTTATTTAATATACTAATTAACGTTTACGTAACTAAACCATAACAC